AATGTTCTTCCCAGGCCTCTCCTTCTCCAGCCACAAGGGGGCATCGCCCAGCACCTCATGGTTCATCTCCCAGAGTCTTGGTGCGTGAGTGTGCACATGCACACACACACACACACACACACACACACACACACACACCACTGCTCATCTGGCACCTTGCTATGGTCTAAATGTGTTTCCAGAATTCATTTGTTCAGATCCAACTACCAATGAGATGGTGCCACCATGTGGGGTCTTTCAGGTGGGGAGGGAGGAATTAGATTGTGATGATGGAGCCTTAAAGATTGGGATGAGTGGCTTTATAAGACACTTCAGCCCACCCATGTGTGAGGACAGTGTGTGAGGCCAGGATACAGGCCTGCCCCACATGCCCACCAGTACCCAGCCTTGGATTTCACAGTCATGATAAATAAATCTCAGTCGATAAGGTTCCCAGCCTGTAAAATTTTTGTCGTAGCAGCTGAGTGAACTGAAATAGTGTCTCCTCACCACCACCTCTGCCCTGACCACAGACCTCTGGTCCCTGAAGATGGAGGGGAATCTTAGCTAGCCAAGCCCCCTCAGCCCACACATGGTCTCATGAAACAGTCCCAGGCTATATTAGGCACCACAGCAGTCTGAAGATCTTGGTGAAGGTTTCTAGAAGCTGGCCATTTACAGGGCTACATAGGCCCCCGCCATCCTGGAGCTCACATTCTGCAGATCCATCCACCTACTTGCAGCCCCCAACCTCCTACTCACAATCTCCCAGCTCCTTTCTCCATGTTTGGCTGGAATGGAAAGAACCCAAGCCCTGTGCCCAGGGCAGGTGTCTAGCCATGGGGTCCAGCTTTCACTGCACCAAGCAAACCATGAGTCACCTCCAGCAGAGTGTGGTCTGGAACAACAGAGTTCTCATCAGGATCTGGGTGCACAAAGCCCCCCCAATCCAGTTGGCTATCACCCTAGACTCTACTTCCACCCACATTCCCAGGACTCCTGAAGGTGTCAGTGTGTAAACCACAGCCTGAAGGGCCCAACTTGGTCTTTATTCACACTCAGAGTTTCCTAAAACCTGACCTGCTAAGGGTTTAAAGCCAGGTCTTTTAGCACTAACTCACCATGGGGTTTTCAAACGAGAAAGCCTGTTGTCCCCATATGTTTCTGGTGGAGGGTCCCTTGAAAGGCTGGGGCCCCTGAGTTCTCACCTCAGCCCATCCAGATGTGCCCATTGCAAGTTTCAGAGTCAAGTTCCTGTTCAATGCCCTAATTTTCTCACAAGAACTCAGTAAGGGGCTGAGGACACAGCTCAGTAAAGTGCTTATTTTACAAGCACGAGGACCTCAGTTTAATCCTCAGAACTGGGGTGATAAAATGCCAGGCCAGAGTGCCACACACCTATAATCTCAATGCTGGGAAAGTCAGAGACAAGAGGACCCCTGAGGCTAAGTGGACAGCCAGCCTTCCTACTTGTGTAGGTAGTGGGAAACATCCATGAAGGAGGCTGAAGCCACACCAGAGATTGCCACAGCACCAGTTTATATGGAGAGCTATTATTTCTTAGGAAGTTGTTAGTGTAACTGGGGTAAAGATAACGCATGAATCACATACTGAAATGTTCTGAGGCACTCGTCAGACCAGCCAGCTCCCCCTCTCTGCTCAGGAGACTAGCTCTCTACTAACACTACCCAGCCCCTTGTAGGTGAAGCTTGACCACACCTGTCTGTCATTGGGCATACAATTGTTTTCATGATAAGATCCATCTATGTTTGTTAATCAGTATCAACTTGCCTGGATTTGGAATCACCTGGGAGATATACCTCTGGGTGTGTTTCCAAGAGTATTTCCAAAAAGGTTCAACCAGAGAGGGCAGAACCATCCTAGATGTGGGCGGTGCCATCCCACGAGCTGGGGTGTAAGTGGAGGCAGAATTTTCTGTCCTGACCACCTGGTCCCAAGTAACACACAAAAGCTTACATTAATTACAAAACGCTTGGCTGTTGGCTCGGGCTTATTGTTAACTAGCTCTTATATTTAAATTAAACCATTTCTATTCCACTATGTATTGCCACATGGCCATGACTTTACCAGTCCTCTGGCATCTTGCTTCTTGGGTGGCTGACTTGTGTCCCTCTTGACTCAGCCCCCCTTCATCCCAGTCTTCGGTTTGATTGTTCCCTCTAACCTTGCCGTAGGCCAAACAGCTTTATTATTAGCCAATGAGAGTAATACATATTCACATCATACAGAAGGATCATCCCACAGCATGGATGTTACAGAAGGCCTTGCAGATACTCATTCAACCCTGTGAATCAATTTAATAGATTTCTGGTTTTAGCAAGTGTTGCTCTTGTGCTAGCAATAGTAACCTTATTGGCTTTAAAATGTTTTGGCTTACTTACGTAAGATTGTAAAACAGAGAGATAGAGAAAAGGCTGTATTTGCTGTAAAGCTGCATAACCTCCAAAATAACTGATTATTGCATATAGAAAGGGGGGATATTGTTGGGAGAATTCCTGTGGGGCTGCAGCTGGTTTGATTCCAGAGTGTTAGCACCTAGCCTTAATCTGCCTTTTGTGATTGCTACCTTTTGTTTCTCCGTACCCTCTATGTGAATCTTGTCTAAGAGTTTTCTGAAGATGCACAGCCTATGCAAATTTGGTTGAAGAAAAACCTGGAACACCATTTGGCCAAGAATTTGCATTTGGCATTGTCCCTTTGGGCAAGCTTAGATGAGAGGTGTTGGGGTACGAAGATTAACTTGCAAAAAGGTGTAAATTGGAGAACAGTAAAAGGGATTGCTAAGCTACAGTGGACCAGTCCATAGAGACAGATCCCCCTGCAGCTGGGAAAGGCTAGAAGCATCCTTGAGGTGCCTCTGTCTCTTGATTCCTTGGACCCATGTGAACACCCACCCCCGATATGCAACACTGGGGTCCTGGACTGAATAAAAAGGAAAAAGTGAGCTGAGCACCAGCATTCATCATTCTGTGTCCTGACTTCCCCATCATGATGCACTGGACCTTCAAACTGCTCTAAACTAAATCCTTCCTTAGTGTTTTTGTTAGGCACTTGTTCATACCAAAAAAGAAAAGTAAACTACTAATTCCACCCAAAATTCCAGGTGATGGACCTAAGGTCTGAGCCCAGCTCTGAGCTAAGGTGGAGACTGCCCTCCCCACAGGCCATGGGGCCACCCTCAGAAGCCATCATAGCACAGACCCAGTGTTTCCAACAGCCCCATTAGGAGATTGGTTTCTTGGGACCCTGGCTCTGCAGTCCAGCCCTTCCAGATGCCCTTGGAGGCCAGGAGCACTTGTCCATGGGCCACCACCAGTCAGGCCCGAAGTCAGCCCTTGCTTAGGGCCCTTCCACTTTCTTTGAGCATATTCCTGGCTCATATTTGAAGATCTGGAAGACAGCCTCTGAGCCCAAAGCCCCTCTTCCAGGTCCCTAGCCAGGCTCCCTCCCTGGCTCTGGGTTGGAATCTGAACTTCACAGTTTCCCCACGTGCCCTGGGAAGCAGTCCAACCTCTCACTATCATCTCGAGTGAGGATCCTTTCTGTCGCCATGCCTGTTCATCTCGATGGGCAGGGCCTCCCCTATGCTGGCAAGTTCTCCGTAACCACCCCTCACCCACCCAGAGATTGCAGGGAAGAACACCAGAGGAGGGGCCATATCAGCCTGCACAGAAACCCTACCAACACCTCAGGCCAAATGAGCACCGGATTTCCTTCTCAGCAGTCCCTAGATCCCTTTGGACTAGAGTCAAGAGACAGAAATGAGAGGGAGACAGGGCTTGGGGAGGATCAGAACACCCACTCAGCAGGGTCCCTGTGCCAGAAAGCACATCTGCCCCTCCCCCACACTGAAGCCCGTGGAATGCCTGAGTATGTCCCATCTCCAGGGAGTTCATGCCATCACAAAGGTGAACCAGGAGCCAGTACCGTGTGACCTCACAGCCAGATCAGCCTGACCGCTGCTCTACTCCACCCAGAGCCCATCTTGGCCAGCTCACCCCAGCTCTGAGACATCCTAACCCAGCCTTTAAGGATTTGCCCAGAGGTGGCTGCGGCTCCTGAGATCACTAGGTAAGGTTCACTGAGAAGGCCCTGCCCGGCTGCTTCACTGGGCAGTATCTTGTTTTATTTTGTTGTTTGGGTTTGGGGTTGTCTGTTTGTTTTGTTTGAGACAGTCTCACTCTGTAATCCAGGCTGGTCTTGAGATCACAGCGATCCTGCTGTCTCAGCCTCCCAAATGCTAGAATTCCAGGCATGCACCATCACACTTGACAACTAAGCTTTGTCATGGCACCCTCTGAGAACCCAGGCATTTCATTCGAGGGCACCGAGCATTTCAGCATTTCATCACCTACACCTAGTTGGGTAGCCCCTTTGACCCACTTCCTCCCTGAAAGTCCCCTGTCCCCTCATCATGACAACCCAGAGAGTCTCCTGGAAGATCTCCAGGGAGATGAAAACCTACTTCAGGGCCTGGCCGCACTGACTCCTTTCCCTCTTACCCAACACAGACATGCCCCACCTGCCCCAGACCACCTGGCTGTGTTTTGTTTGTTTGTTATTGTATGTGCCTTGTTAGCAGGAAGTAAAGTTTTCAGGACAGAGTGATGTGAGCCGGCAGAACACAGAAGAGAATTAGCTAATGCATTCGGAGTCAGAACAGGTTGCTGGAACATGAGCTTCAAAGGCCAGATCCATGCCCAGGCTTGTCCTGCAGGGTTGACATATACTCGTTCACTCACTCATCCACTTACTCATTTGCTACTCATTCTTTCATTCACTCACTTTTTCTTTTTTTTTTCTTTTCTTTTTTTTTTCTTTTCTTTTTTTTTTTGGTTTTTCGAGACAGGGTTTCTCTGTGTAGCTTTGCGCCTTTCCTGGAACTCACTTGGTAGCCCAGGCTGGCCTTGAACTCACAGAAATCCGCCTGGCTCTGCCTCCCGTGTGCTGGGATTAAAGGCGTGCGCCACCACCGCCCGGCCACTCACTTTTTCAACTGGTGCTGTGGATGCCCCACATGAAGACACAGGAGCCCCAGGCCTCGGGGAGCTGGTATTCTCATAAGTATGACATGAATCAGAACAATTGGGGTTTGTAGAACTGTATGTCAGGATAACACAGAACAGGAGCTGGCTAAGGTTGCTCAGTTGAACTTGAAAACCAGGTCATTGAAGGACCCTGAAAGATGGGGCCTTCTCCATTTTCCCCTTAGTTAGGGACCTGGGAGATGGGCATCCTGACAAGTGGGAGGGTGGTGGGGGCACAGTGTGAGGTGGCAGGCCCACAGTGTCCCAAGATGGCAGCAGGAATTGCTGCTCCAAGGAAGGTTAAAGAAGGAGTGACATCTTCTGACTTTCCCACTAAGGAGTCCCCTCTGGATGGAAAAGGGGACACGCCCTCAGTAGGTCTGGCTGCAACTCAAGCAGATGGCAGCCTGGAGCAAACTGGGGGCAGTAGGATGGAGCCAAGGTCAAACCCCAGCAGAACTAAAGGCCTGGAACAGAAGTTTTCAACAACTTGGGAATAGGACTATCTGGAGGAAAGCCTTGTGGGTGTGCAAAGGGCCAGGCAGCCATGGTCTGAGCATCCAGAGGAAGTATCTGAAGTGCTGGGTTTGTGAACACCAAGAGACAGAGAGGGAACAGTTAACTGACAGCAGGGAGTGAGGCCCAGGGCCCAGCCCACTCCGCACCCTATCAGAAACAGCCATCCCAGCTTTGTGAGGATTGCCTCAGGAGCATCTAAACCCTCTCCCCAGGCTGGGCCATTTGGAAGATGATGTATAAAGAGTCGCCTGAGATCCCCAGTGAATGGGAGCAGAACTGAGGCTCACAGGAGCACTCTCCTATCCAGAGACCTTGTCAGTCACCTGCACCTGTCCAGCAGCCATCCCTACCCAGCCACCTGTCCTAGTCACCGCAGCAACTTGCCACCAACCTTGTGTGTCCTTCACTACTGTACACCTCATGGTGGCTCAGAAAAATGTCTTCCCCATAGTGACAAAGTGAACATGACGACCAGATCTGCTCACAGCCCAAGGGATAATGGGGCGGGGCTTCAAGCTGCTGATCTCTTGCTCTGCATGGTTCCCACACACGTTCTTGCCCTTCCCACCCCCACCACCCCTGAAACTCCTGGATTCCAGCAGGAGCAGTGGAAGGACATGCAAGGAGCACAGGGCCTGAGCCACCTTCCCAACAGCATCCCTAATCCGTCATCCAGGCCCTTAACTCCAGGAACCCCTGGGCACAGGCAACCCAAACAGACTCCACTGCAGAGACCAGTGGATATCTAGGCTGAGCCTCCTGGGTCCAGCACGCAGACCCCAGGCCAGGAGCAGAATAGCTCCAGGACGAGTTTGCCCCTGCCATGTCAGAGAATGGAACAAGAGAGAAACTGACTTTGAGAAGCAATGGCCATCGTGACCAGTTGGTCAGGTCCCCCTTCTACACAGGGGTTCCCTAGGCACTCAGAGACCCCGGCCCCATCATAAGAACCCCAAGACCAGGGTACTCAGGGCACAGTTTGCAGCTTTGAGAACAGAGACCGGGACACAGCATTCTCAAAGCACCAGCTTCAGTGTAGTCGGGGCATTCACGCTCCAGCTGCCTCTCCTGGCCCTGGCCTGGGGTGCTCAGCCTGGGGTGCTCATCTGTGTGCTTTCCACCCAGAACCGGCTGATGGGGAAGTCGGAGAGCCCAGTGGAGATGGTGGAGAGATCAGACCGATCTGGGAAGAAGCGCTCAGGCTTCCTGGTGTGGGGGCTGATGCTGCTGCTGCTGCTTCTGCTGGCAGCCCTAGTGGCCCTGGGTGTCCTCTTTGGCCGAGGTGAGTAAGGATACCCTGCCCCCTTACCTTCCCCCTACCCACCCCCGCCCAGGGCTTTACATGCCCCTGAGAGGAGCCAACCTTGTAGAGTAGGGCAGAGGGCTCTGCCAGGGCCCCCAGCCCGCTCCCAGGACCATGCTGCTGATTCCAGAGGAGCCACGGAAGGGACACTGACCTGCACGGACCCAGCGACCCCATCCAGAAAGCTCTGTCCTGGCTTGCTGGCGCAGCAGCTGCTGCAGGCTCTGCCTCCGCCCCCTCTGTCTCAGCAGGACTCTAGGATGCTGCAGACCGCAGACAGGTCCCCCGCCTCACCAGACCAGCCCCCTTCTAGTCAGCAGCACAACCTGGCAGAGTGGCTGCTGCAGTGCCCAGGTGGCCCAGCAGCAGGAGCCCAACCCCTGAGCTAAGGGGTCCCTCCAGCTGTCTCACCTGGTGCCAGTCAGGATGACCTGGTGGCTTCTGATACAGGCTCTTGCTTATTGCAAGTTTGAAGGAAGGGGCTAGCCTGAGGACCATGAAGGTGGAGGTGTGGCTAGGATTGTCCTTTGGGTAGACCTCAGGTGTCTCAGGAACTGCTTTATGCACACTGACCTCTTCCTAAAGGATCACATGTAGGACAAGGCTGTCCCCCTTTGGATGGGGCACCTAGACACCCAGCATCCCTGCACCCCCCAACCCCTTCATCCCTTTTGAGCTAGGGGCAGGGGGATAAACATACAGGAGGAAGGAAGGCCCACATACTCCACTTCTGCCATGTCCCTAAGTGATGTGCTCACCTTGGTCTGGCTGTAACACCAGGGCACCAGAGCCTGACATTCCCTCAGGGGACTCCTCCTGATGAGGGACAGCTGGGAAACACAAGTGGGTTCTACCCCACCCAGGACTGCCTTCAAGGGTCCATAGAGAGTGTGGCTTCTGCCCAGTCGCCAATGTGGTCTCTGTCCCCTTGGTTCTCCTGCAAGGGTTGACAGGTGCAGCCAACTTCAGGGGCAGCAGTGACAGGGCCAATGTGCCCAGTGGAGCCCAGGGCTCCAGGAACCTTTATTTGAGGTTTACTAGTCTCAAAACACCTGATTTTGAGGCCTCCAGAGTACAAACCTGATGGCCCCAGCCCTGAGGTAGAGAGAGGGTGGATGGGTCTCCTCTTCTGTTTCCCTGTCTGTTTTCTCCTTGCCTGACTCTCCCTTCACCCTTCAAGCAGTATGACTTCTGGGACAGCCAGGGTCTCTTTGACTATGACAGGACCCCACAATCTCTGCTTCCTCCTCCTCCAGGGCTCCTGGGCTGCTGGAATGTCCCCACAGCTAACCTAGGCTTCAGCCCAGGACTTCAGTCAGGACTAGGCAGATGGAAAGTTTTGGATTATCCATTTTAAAGTATTTCCTTGTTTCTGTTTGGAGGATTTTTATTATTATTATTTCTGATTTGTGAGCTACTATTTATTCTTTAATTTCTATATCCATATGATCTTATGTTACCATTTTAAATTTTACTGACTTCTAGGTCAGTTGCACAATTGTCAGAAACTCAGTTGGAGGTGGTCTGGTGAGATTTCTGGTGCTTGCCTGAGGCTAGCCTTCTTAGGAATGTTTCTGTTGCTGTGATAAAATACCCTGACAAAAGCAACATACGAGAGAAAATGTTTGGGGAAGTCAAGGCAGCGCGAGCTTGAAGCCATCAGAAGAGAGCAGTGCAAGCTGCTTCAACTCGTTGTCTCCATTCTATACAACCCTGGGATACCTACCTAGGGAATGGTCCCACCCACAATGGGCAGCTCTTCACACCTCAAGCATGCACGAGAGGCCCTTGTCCCGGGTTATTCTGGATTCTATCAAGTTGATAATGCTGATAGTCACACACTAGCCTTAGGCCAAGTAAGGTTTGGTCAGTTGTTTTACAAGAAAATTGTAAAATAGGCCAGATGCACTCGAGGGCTATGCCCGTCCCTGCCTGCTGAGTGACAGTGTCCTTAGGTGCCTGTGAGTTCAGTGAAGGGCCTATAATATTTTCTTCCTTCATTCTCTTGATCTTCTAGATAGTTATTAAAAGGAGTATGTGTGAATTCTTGCACTAGAGACTTGTCAAATTCCTGAAGTGGTATCAAGGATTAATTTATCTTACCAATTTAAGATTAGTACACGAACATAAATTTAGCCAGAAGGGGCTGGAAATGGCCCAGCAGTTAAGAGCATTGGCTACTCTTCCAAAAGACTCAGGCTTAATTCCCAGCACTCACGTGGCAGCTCACAACTGTCTTAACTCAGATTCTAGGGGATCTGACACCCTCTTCAGGCCTCCACAGGCACCGGGAGAACATATGATACACAGATATACACAAATACAAAACACTCATGCACCTAAAATAAAATAAAATCTCAAAAAAGAGGACTGTACGATGTTTTCCTCAATCACTCGCCATCAAATAGTCATAAACTATAAACTTAGTCTCATTAATTATGCAATTATGCACTAATTATGACTTATTTATTTTTATTTTATGTGCATGAGTGCTTTGCCCTTGCAGTTTTATATTTAGATATACATACAGAATCAGCCCACTACATGACATTAAACAGTAATCTTTTCTTAGCAATGCTCTTGACCCTGGATTCTGTTCCTTTTTTTTTAAAAAAAAATCTTTTTACATGGGGCTGGAGAGGTGGCTCAGTGATTAAGAGCACTGACTGTTCTTCCAGAGGACAGGAGTACAATTCCTAGCACCCACATAGCAGTTAATAACCATCTGCAACTCTAGTTCCAGGAGATCTGATACTCTCTTCTGGCTTCCACAGGCATCAGGCACACACGTAGTATACAGGCATACATGCAAGCAAACACACACACATACACATAAAAATAAATAGTAAAAACAAAACAATCTTTTTTACAATTTTCCATCACATTTTATTTATATAGTCGGAGAGGGGGCATGTCATGAAACGCACATGAAGGTCAGAGGACAATTTGTAGGGGTCAGTTTTCCCTTCCACTACGTGGGTCAAGAGGATTGAACGTGAGTACTTCCACTCTCTTCTCGGGAAGCTTTCTGTGTGCCACTCAGCTGTTCTCCTGCAGCCATGATGGCTAGGTTTTGAGTTTGTCTTTTACTTCATTTGCTAGGTTAAAATTATGAATAAACCTTTTTATCCCTGAAAGTCCATTTTATTTTGTATGTATGTGGTGGGGTATGTGTGGCATGGTGTGGAGGAGGTCAGAGACTACCTTTTGGAGTTGATTCTTTCATTCCATATTTACATGGGTTCCAAGAATCAAACTCAGGTCTCCAATCTCTCTCAACAAGTGTCTTTATTCTTGAGCCATCTGGTTGGCCCTGAAAGTCAAATATTTTCATAAATAGCTCAGTATTGTGCCCTCACTCATGTTCATCCAGAATTCTCTTCACAAGCAACCATATTCATTGTTCAGGTTAGCTAACCATGGCCCCTGCCTGTTTTTGTAAATAAAGTTTTATTGACATGTTGTCTTGCCCTCTTGTTCATGCCTATACTCCTTTCCTGGCTGAGCAGCAAAGCTGAGGGGATGGGACAGAGCCTGCCAGCCTGGACCTGGGCTGTGTCCTTGGAGTCTGCAGCTCATCTTTGGGCTCTTCTATCTATTACTCAGGACATCAGTTCCCAGCTATACAGCCTGGGTGGACATTCCAGCTCCTGTCCCAGCTGTGTGACCTCACACAACTTCCATGATGTCTCTGTGCCTCAATTTTGTGACCTGCAAAACAAAGTATAGGAGTGCGTGCATTAGAGGTCCGTAAGAGGGTTTGAAGACTCATACAACAGGAATGCTTAGAAAAACGCCCATTACATTGCTCACCAAATTTCATAACAAGATGTCCGTCTTGCCTCTGACCCCATAAAACTTGTCATTCCATCCTGTATGAAGGTAGATTAGCTTGTGAGACAGCAAGCCCCCACCTCCCAATATAGATGTCTCTGTAGCTTTTGCTTAAATCCACACTCATCATTTATATATTTTATGATGTATTTTAAAATGCTTATTATTTGTTTTTAATGATGTATACATGGAAGGATATGTGGATATGTGAATGCAAGTACCCTCAGAGGCCAAAAGAGGGTGTCAGCTCTAGCCATCTCTCCAGCCCCTAGTCTATTTTTTAAACTGCTGAACTATGAAGAATAATGAGTTACATTTTCTTTCCTTGCTACTGTATGACATCATTCATGACTCTCTTGACAGTTTTTTTTTTTCTGTCTAGTAATTGCTATGCAAAGCCTGTCTTTACCATTTCAAAAAACATCTGTGCCTTTTGTGTGCTTGGTGTGGAGTGCAGAGGGAGAAAAGGGAGAGACGGGATCTCATGTAGCCCAGGCTGGCCTCCAACTTACTATATAGTCAAAGATGATCCTGAACTTCTGGTCTTTCTGTCCCTACCTCACAAGCGCTGGAATTACAGGGATACACCTCCACACCTGTATTCAGCTAGTGCCTTTAAGATAGTTTCCTGGTTATCCAGAGGATGTAATGGGCAACTTGAACATCAGGCTAGTCCTGTAGTGCTTCGAATTTGAAATGCCTGGCATAGAATCCTGTGTTTGAACACTTGGTCCCCACCTGGTGGCACTGTTGGAAAGGTTATGGAACCTGGCTCCACTTCCTGCTCTCTTTCTCTGTTTCCTGTGTGCAGATGAAATGTAATCAACCTGCTTCCTGCCTGGCAGGCCAGCCTCACACTCCCACTGCCATGCCATGCAACCCTCTGTGAGTTAAAATGAACCCTTTCTCTCCAAAGTTGCATTTTGTCAGGGTACTCTGTCGCAGCAACAGAAAAATAGTCAATAGATCATTCTAGATGTAAGCCCATTCAAGATACATCTCTAACTTCTAAAATCATTTCCCTGGCACCTCTTATCTTTTCTTCAAAATCAATTTTTTAAAATAAACAGCTTTAATTTTACACAAGTAAGCCACATCCTCAGCCCTCAAGCTGAAGTCAGAGACAAGTCCTCTCACAGTTTTTG